ATAACTTTTTCCATATCATACTGAATAGAAAAAGCATTAATAATTTCATAATTAAAAAAATTATTGAAACTCTTGAGTATTTAATTAAGTGGCATAATTTTTCTATTATTATTTATATAAAAAGTAGTTTTGATAAAAAACTCGTCATTCATGCGGGGGGGTCAGTTTATCGATAGATTGCCAAGGTCAATAAGTCTCTTAAAATTTCAGATATTTTGACCTTTTTATAAAAAGGTAAGGTTAGTTTAGGATGTAAAATTTCATGTAGTGCGACTCCCCAAATATGTAATGATATTTATGAAATTTGCACACAAAAAAAAGATGTGTACACTCTGCACTGTTAATGCAGGTGAGCATCTAAAGGGTTTTAAAACCTGCTGCATTGAGTCCAGCACCTGCATATAGCTTTACATCACCCGCTGTGCACCATGTGCTCCAGTGTTTGGATTCAAAGAGTGTTTAGATCAGTGTAGCTCACTGATCATTATTGATGTGGACAAGGAGTGATCCTAGATCAGTGCAACAGATAGCATGGAGGCTGATGCTTGACAGGAGCTGGCCTGAGTGTTCAGAGTAAGTGGATTACTGTAGTTAGTTTCAATCCCCGCTGACAGACAGGAGGCTAAATGTGGACACTCTTGGAGTCTTACAGGGTGGTGGGTTGTAGATGATAGTCATGGGTTTAACAAGCAGGGAGTGGAAGATGTCCAATGTTTCCTGACCCAGAAAATACTCTTAAAGAACCAAAAGTGTGTCATTATACATTTTTAAATGGTGAAAAAAAGCCAAGATTAATACATTTATACTAATAATATATTAATTATATAATATATTATTATTATATATTTAAATATATTTTATTTAATTAAACTCCAGTTGCTAGTGGTAATAAATGGTTTTGTTTTAATTGCTTTATTTGTCTTATGTGGGTTTGGCATTGAGCAATAGTTTTGGCAATTTGACAATATTTGGGATGCAATGTTCCCCTATGCTTCTTTTTATTTTTCAGGTACTGCGAGGATTATTAAACAACTATAATAAATAACTCCTTTCATTAACAAAATAAAAAAAACCCTGTATGACGAATAATGTAAAAATATTAAATATATACCCTCTAAGTATACTTATATAATTACTTATTAAATTAGTATTACTTTTTACCCACTATACTTCTATACACTTATTTACTTAAATATACTTAAACTTTATTATTGTGTACTGCAAATATTATTGGCTCTGATGATAAATTGCTTGTGAAGTTCCTAATTTGTAAGTGGATAAAAGCACACGCTAATTAACTAAATGTAATGTTAAACTTGTACTACTATCAGTGTGGCAGTTATATGTACAGCTCCAACACAAGATTTCATAATTCATAGTCATGACGCCAAATTAAAAGTCCTGTATGTCCAAAATCTCTGAAGAACTACAGATTTACATTAACAAACCAAACATTTTTCTGTTTCTCTGTAACTTCCTGTCTGCCACTGGAGATAGGGTATCTGCTTCAGAGCATCAGCATGGGCTGACTGGTAATTTTTTTCGTGGGAACTGAACAATAGCGGTGTCAGAGCCACCGTGGCACGATGCCCTCGACTGGGTCTAGAGACAAAGTGTTCCTCAGTTCAGAGCTGCACCGTGGGACAATGGCTCTTTTCACTCGAGTCCCAATGGAGCTCAGGGCTCAGCGAGTCCATATGCAAGTAGCCATCTGCTGATAGCAGCAGCCATTTCTGCTGACCTCACATCATATTTGTAGCTTCCTTTCTCTAGGTTATGATTGAAAAGAACTGATCCCAGATCAGTCTTACCTAGAGCATTATTCCTTAATGGTTCCAGTAAGTTTCCTATAATCATAGACATTACTGACACACTTTCAACCACAAGGTAACACCTGTTTTGCATAACAAAATCTCAAATGGCCATTATACACTGATGACACACTGATGGATGGCATTTATGTCTCTGGATAGTGAGATTTTGCACACTCGAACACACACAACATCAGCCAGTAGGCTCTAGCCAGTAGACTTTCCACCTGTACTTACTCTGCTTGTGGGCCTCCAGCCTACTTTGGCAAGAAGTTTGAGCGCTCCAAAGGGCAGGATGTAGTAGAGGAAGGACAGAGGCCATGAGCGAAGGCGGACAGTAGGCCGGGACATGCAGCTCAGCTGGCCTAGTCGCCGCCGTAGGGCCAACTGTGGGAACTGCAACCTGCACAACACATCCATGATTCCAAAGTGCACAAAATACACAGACAGACACATATGAAGAATAAAGAAGGTGGAAATGAAAGATGTATGTGCAGATGGTCTAAATGTTGTAGAGCAGGGGTGCCCAATCCTGTTGATGGAGATCTAGCTACCTTCCTGCAGAGTTAAGTTTCAACCTTGCATCAACCTGCTTGTAATTATCAAAGGTTCTTGAAGATTTTAATGAATTGGTTCAGGTGTAATTGAATAGATTTGGAGCAAAACTTTGCATGTAGACCTCCAGAAACATGATTGAGCACCACTGTTATAGAGTGAATCTCTTTCAAGACCATGTCTGGATCATATTTCACCCTAAAAGAAATAAGAATGGTGTGAGATTGGGCAGGATGATTTATATTTATGTCCAGTGAAAACCTGCTGGAAAAAAGTATTTCTGCAGTTCCATTTGTTGATACTATTGATAAAATCTTTCTTTTTCTTTCATGACAAATAAGCATGTATTTCCAAAACTAGTACCTCAATGCAATATAAACATAAATGTTATTAATCACTTATTATTTTCATAATTACAATTAATATTCTTAAACTACTTATAAATATATTTAATAAATTATTATGGCGGCAATTGTGGAAACGTGTTTAAATGTCATTAAAATGTTGTCATGTATTTGTATAATTACAACACAATTGTAACACATAATTACAAAATTATTTAGACATTAGTACAGTAATGAGAATAACCATTGAGAATAATAGGAACTACAAAAAAAAAAAGTCCAAATGTGAAATGGTAATGGGAAATTGGGTGAAAATGAGCTTAATTTTCATGAAAATGTCACAGTCGGGTTAAAAACAAAACAAAAAAGAAGTTCGTCCTTTTTTTTAAATATAGTTTCTTTTTTCTTTCTTTTGATTTTAGGGTGAAATGTTACCTAAACATGTTTTCTTGAGATTCGCCATATAACACAGAACTGGGCTGTTCTATCAAAACAGTAGAAAGGAGGAAGGAAAGATTTATAAAACATGCAGAAATATCCACACAACCCACTCACGCATACCAAAGACCAAACACAAAGACACTCATACAGAAGACATTAAACAGCAGAAGACAAACGCTAGAAAAGATACTTGAGATAGGAAAGAGACAGGAATAGCAATTCTCCATTGTAAACTTAACCTCATGGTCGTTTGCACTGCTTCTCTTAACTACACTGACCATATACTCCCTTTCAGCTTCATTCCACGTATATCAGTCTAATCAAAGGCTGCTTTCACCTGCTTAACACCTTTAATCTCATTTAGGGTGTATCATCACCTTCCTGCTACACTTGCTCTAGAAATGGTACATGAGGAGAAATACGTGACTGAAGGCCTGGGCCAGTCTACACGATAAAAGGCCACATTTTAAACAACATACACCTATTTAACCAACACAAACATGCATGTTTTTATGGGTCACGCCGAGTAGGATGCTTGCACAGAACTACTAAAGCCATGAGGGATATACGCCAATAATCTTTTATAAATTTTTCTGTGTCCATTGCGCTATTTTTAGCACCTGTGCGGGCGGATAACATTCCAGATCAACACAACTGTTAGGGGACTAGAACGGCGCATGCAAAAAAAGCTGCACCTCTATCCAGGTCCTGTTGATGGAACATGTCGTCTTGTTTGGCTACAACTGCTCGCTTTTCATTGAGTATGACACTAAGAGCTAGTGCTTCAGGCTAAAGTGAGATTAGCTTTAGTGTGTCCGTAAAGTGGGTCATATTTGGCACTGAAAGTGATGACACAGCACTAGCTGGGTTGACACGGACCTTCCAGGGCTGCAACTACGTGGGCTATATATAGAATATAACACTGTGTCCACCCTAATCAGGATGAAACCCTGTTCTGACCTGTGGACAGAGGAGACTTATGGCGCTTTTCCACTGCATGGTACGGCACGGTACGGCTCGGTACGGTTCACTTTTTGGGGGTTTTCCACTGGGACCAGTACCTGGTACTTTTTTCAGTACCACCTCGGTTGGGGTTCCAAGTGTTTTTTTTATTTTTTATTGCAAAACTTGTAGAAACATACAGAAACAGGGAAGCGAGATGAATATATTCCAACAAAAAAGCAAATATAAAACTAAAAACAGAAAACAAATATTCTGTATTTGCATGTCAAATTAATTATTATCGATACATAAAAGTGCAAAAATAAACTTACATTCTTTTAGAAAAGTTGTCATAATACATCAAAAGTTTGGCACTCTTTTTGTTATTAGTAAGTCTAAGAGATGAAACAAGAGAGTCCAATTCAACAAGAAAAATGGGGAAAGACAAAGGAGATTTAAGCCATTTTTGCTTATGAATGAAGAATTTTGCATTCAATATAAGAAAATTAACAACATATTCAACAGATAATAGCTTTGGATTTTCATAATAAAAGATAACATCTTTGAGGACGAAGGTATGGGACACATTTGTAAGGTTAGAAACATAGGTGCTTAAGTCAACCCATAATTTGTTGGTAACACCACAAAAATTCTCACGTTACAGTAATTAAGAAGTTTTAATCAGTAA